AGGGCGGCCACGGGCAGCAGGCGGCCGGGGGGCCCCGCTTCGGGTCTGCGGGGCGAGCTCAGGTCAGCAGGAGACCGCGCAGAGCCGCAGCGGAAACGGCGCCTTCTCTGGTTTGCGTTTGAGTCCCTGGCTCGGATCTTTGTGCGCTGCGCAGAGCGCTGCGCAGGACCCGGGGGTGCTCCCTGCTGCCGACGCCTGCACCAGCAGCCTGCTTCGGCCACTGCTGCTGCTGGGAATCGCTTTGTGAGTCAGGGCAGCCGTCTGTGGGCACCCTCGTCCGCCCGTGTGGGCAGGGTCCGCTGGCCTCACAGGTTAGGCCTTGCCGTGGCGCCTTGCCGTGGTTGTGTAGTCTAGGGAAGGGCCTCAGCCATGGTCTCTGCCCTTCCACACACGTGTAGAGATAGGCCAGGCGTGCTGAGCTGGGCCGTCTGTGTGACATGCACCATCCAGGCTGCCCCTGCGTGCCTCTTGGAGCCTCCGGCTCAGCTGCTCGCCGTCCCTCTAGCAGGTCGGAGCGGGAACGGAATTGGTCTGAATGGGCGTGTGTTTGTTTTGCACTGTCAAGTAGCATCTCCTGCTGCCTGGGAGCAGATGGTGCTCTCTGTGATGTTTGTGCTGTGCAAGTGTAAGCTCCTGGCAGCTCAGGGGAGGACAAGCTCTGAACACCTTCCCGTGTTCTCTCAGCAAAGCCTGGGCAATCAGCTTAGTGCTTCTCCCAGCCACCAAGAGCTCAGGTTTGAGAACTGGGGAAGTGCTTTGAGGCTTATCTCCAGGCAGCAGTGGGAGCAGCAACACTGACCTTTCCAGCTTTTCTGGCAGGACACGGTGTTGACAGGAGCTGCATCTTGAGGGAGGGTTGAGGGCTGGGAGAGTGTCACTGCCAAGACACTGATTGTGTGAGCACTAGGCTGTAGCAAGCTACACTACAGCATCAGCATCAGCCTGCTGCTGCTGCTGCCTCCGCCTCGGTACTGCAGCCTGTTCACAAGGAACTGAGAGCAATTTGTGGCCTGGAGTTCATCCCACCCTGGCAGGGGGCTGCCCTGGGGACTGGGCAGCGGCTGAGTTGAGATCTGCTGTCCCATGTTATCCACGGCTGTCCTGTCCTTGAGCTGCACAGCTGAATGGAGTCTGCTTGCTCTGCAGGTGCCTGCTCGCGCAGAGGAGATCACGATCCCAGCTGATGTCACGCCTGAGAAAGTCCCCACGCATATAGTGGACTACTCAGGTAGGGCACTGTCCCTCCTCGCTCCCTCCCAGCCTTGCTTCTCCCCTTCCTCTGCCCTCAGCGCTCGCGCAGCCCAGCTGAGGTCAATGGGAAGGGGGTCCCCAGCGCAGTGGACAGGGTTGTGACAGGTGGTGACAACTCTTTTCTCCTTTCAGAATCAGAGCAGACAGAGGATGAACTGCAGGAGGAAATCACTAAGGTGAGTGGAGCTGGATGAGGGTGCTGCGGGACCCGATCCTGGGGCCTGCTCTGGTGCCCGTAGCCCTGCGCAGCTTGCGAGTGACACGTGGCTGATCTCCCCGTTAGCCGCCTGGAGATGTGCAGGCGGTTGGTTATCTGCGGATTAACGCTATCAGTGCGGTTAGCAGTTTGTTTAATCCTTCTCTGTCTTGTAAGCCGTTGTATATGGCTTGTCCTAGCTCTCAGGGAGGCCTCCAGAAGGAGAGCAGTGGGGGGCAGCTCGCTGCCTGGCAGGAGGTGGAGGGAGCTGCTGAGCACGTGATGTGCTTTTAGCCTCAGGACAGACTGTCGAGAGGGAGGAGCGTTTGCCAAGCTTGTTGTGAGAGCCCTGCTCCCAGCCTGAGGCTCTGCGCCTGCCTGATGAAGCAGTAGCACAAAGGAGTTGGTTTGCGAGCCCTGGGGAGCACGGGGTGGGGAGGAGGGCTTCCACGTCACTCAGAGCAGCCACGGAGGAATTATCCAGCTGGCTGGATGGGGTGGGCGCAGCTGTTCTTCCCCGCTCTGGGATTAACCTTGGCTCTGCATTGAGGAAGACCTCTTGATATGGGTAATAAAGCAGGCTCTCTCGTGGATGTCTCGTATGAGTGAAGCTATTTAATCGCTTCACTTCAGACGTCTACGGGCCAGGGAGGTGGGCCAAAGGGCAGGGGCGTCCTGCTCCCTCCACCCAGACAGCAAGAGTATGCAGGGGCTTAGAATGGCTGCAGGAAATCCTGCCTAAACCCTTGTGTGTTCTCAGGATTAGCACTAAACTCTCTCCTGAAAGGGCCAGTGATCCCTCCTCTCTGCTTTAAATAAAGTGTCGGTGTCAGCGCTGTCTGAGCAGGGTCGGGGAGGGGAGGACAGCAGCTGCTGGCCCAGGATGGAGCATGGGCAGTCAGAGCCACTGTGGATGGTGGACGGTGAGGTCTGGGAGCTGGTGAACTCGGCTGGAGCGTCAGATCCAGGGAAGGGAAGAATTTGTTGCCCTGTGTTGCTGTGCTGAGCCAGAGGCAGAGAGGAGCTCCCAGTCCCCAGCTACCTGACACTGGGTGGCACCCCCGAGAGTGCCACTCTGGAGGGCGCAGCAGGGAGGAGGATGTGCTCGTGGCAACGGACGGGGACAGGACCTGAAACGAAGCAGGGAGTCTTTGCCCTGAGCGGCCCCTTGCAGAGCCTGGGTTGGTGGCTGGGGATACGTTGCTGTCCGAAGGCTCTGCCCTGTGCCTTAGTCCTGCCTTTGTGCTTTGGCCGAGCAGCTCTCCATGCTGCTAACTCCCTCCCTTTCTGCCTGGCTTTAACCGGCCTCTCAAGTGGCGTGGCTAGAACAGCTGCGTGTGTGTCCCCTCCTTCAGAGGCGCTCAGTCCGCAGAGGAGCAGAGATGGGGGCAGTGGGCTCGCCATACGCAAGCTGCCTGTTTGCTGAAAGAAACCCGTGCCAGTCGGAGCAGGACCGCTGCGAGGGAGGGCCTGAGCACTGGCGCAGGGCGGTTGGGTCCTTCGTAAATGTTGCCTGGCTTCTCAGGATCCTGCAGATGTTGTATGTGCGTGCGCACGCGTGAATGCACACTCCAGCGTGTGCACACACAGCGGGGGCTGGAGCTGCCTGTCTGCTGCCTGCGGCAGGGCTGCTAGGATCCTTGCTTATCGCCCTCTTCTCCTTCTCTCTTGTAGGCCAACGTAGTCTGTGTGGTGTACGATGTCACCAAGGAGGCCACGATCGAGAAGATAACAGCTCCTCTGCAGGAGCCCTGTCCAGCCCTGCTCTGGCAGCAGCACTGGTGCTTTACCAAAGGGAGGGAGCTGCCAGCAGTGGGTCCTTCCAAACCACCCAGGCTTTGTTAGCGTGGGTGGGCACTGATGCCCCCTGGCCCTCCTGGGATTTAGGTTTGAGACTCCTGCGAGCAGAGGCAGGCCAAGCACAGCTCAGGCTTGCTCCCACGCTGGCGATTGTCTTCACATGCTGGGGGCAACAGGCTTGTTGCATCCTTCTGCTGGCATGCAGCACGCCTGTGTATGCTCCGCCTGTTGGTGCGGGGGAACGCCAGGGAGCAGATGGCTGCAGGGCCCTGCTGACTGCCACGTTGTGTGCGCTGCACGCTGTGCTGGGAGCTGCCTCTCCCTCACCAGGCTGTTCTGATCAGGCTTTCTCTGTGCTTGTCTTTCAGATCCGCACGAAGTGGATCCCCATGGTGAACGGGGGAGTTGAAAAGGGCTCCAGGTACCACGTCCAATGAGGTCTGTGGGTGCAGAACTGGGTGATTCTGGAGACCGCAGGGCCTCCGTCTCCTTCCTGTCCTGCAGAGGTTGCTCATGTCAAACCGGATTTGCAATTTGTGGCCAAACCCCTTGTAGCAGAAGAACGTGGAGGCTTTTCTCCCCCTTGGGTCTAGCTTAGCTGCAGCAGGAGGGTCAGCGGAGAAGGTTCCTTCCCCCTGCACCTCTTGCCAACCAGGCAGAGAAAAGAGACTGCTAAGGGAGTACAGGAGCACAGAGGCTGCAATCTGTGTGTGGATGGCTTAGGCAGAAGACTGCTGTGCTGGATTAAAGGCTCCCAAGCATATTGTTGCTGGGTGAAAGCATAAGCAGGATCAGGCAGTCTGTTTCTCCAGATGGGTACTCCCAGTCATGGGAGGCAGCAAAGCTGCTCTGGACCTTGCAGAGGAGGGTTGGGAGTCTCTCCGGCCTGCTGCCTAGGAGTGCGCGTGGCCAGGCAGGGCCAAGACTCAGAGAGGGGTGGTCTCGCTCACAATCTCTCACACCCCATATCTCCTCCTCAGGATCCCCATTATTTTAGTGGGAAACAAGTCTGACTTGCAAGCGGGGAGTTCCATGGATGTCATCTTGCCCATCATGAACCAGTTTTCGGAGATTGAGACTTGTGTGGAGGTGAGGGAACTGGAGGGTTTCTGCAAAGCCTGCCTGAGGGGTAGGAGCGCTATTTTGGCATAAGCTGGGGAGGCCTGGAGGGGGTTTGCTGTGCTTTAGGCTGTCCTGTGCCTTCCCCATAGGGAAGCAGGTTTCAGTGTCTGCTAGGTCCTGCTCTCCAGCTGTTACTGGTGTTGGAGCCTACATGCAGCCGCTGTTGGCTCCTGGGACTGTGAAGTGGGCATAGCAAAGCTGGGGTGTGAGTAGGAGGTTTCCCTTTTGTTTTTTCCCAGTCACGCGCAGCTGTTGCTCTGTGCTTTGATGCGTTATGTGTCTGGCCTAGGGACTTTGAATCGTCCTCTTGTGGCCCCCACTCTTCCCTCTGCCCCATCACCAGCTTGTTACCTGCAAGTAGTCACGGATTTTCCCTTTCCTCTGCATCCCTAGTGCTCTGCTAAGAACCTCAAGAACATCTCTGAGCTCTTCTACTATGCCCAGAAAGCTGTGCTGCACCCTACTGCCCCCCTGTATGACCCAGAGGAGAAGCAGGTAAGAGGTGCTGCCTGGAACCCCCACTGAGCTCTCCTGCCTCACAGCCTCCGGCAGGAGTCTCCTTCCCGTCACGCCTGCAGGGTCACAGTGCCGATCTGATGCCACAGCTCTTTAGGAGGCGGAGAGGACATGAGAGGGTCTCTAGGGCCTGGTGCTGGCTTAGCAGTTAGCACTTCCACTGCAGGCATGTGTACCCTCTTAGATGTAAAAAAGGGTCCTTTTAGTGCAGGCTCTTGTCTGTGACTGAGGCTAGCTGTCTTCATGTTACGTGAACCTGCCCTGCCGTGGCTTCAGTACCTGAGCCAGCTCTGTGCTGGGCTTTTACTCCTGGGCAGGAGGGTGAAGAGTTTGGGCTGAGCTGCCAAGAACAAGAGGGACGCAGTACCCCTCGGGGGAGCCAGCAGAGAAGACTATACCTGGCTCCCTGTGCTCAGTGCAGCTGGTTGAGTGTATCCAGGCCACAGAGAGACTTGTGAGGACCAAGGGCACGCTGAGGCGAAAGCCCTTGTGCTCTGGAGCATATGGCAGCCATGGTGAGAAAGGTCAGGGAGAGACCTTCCCCTGGGGCCACCCTACCCAGCTCCAACCCAGCGGTGATACTGGCCTAGCTGGATCTAGGTAGGGCTCTGTGCGCAGGGTTTCAGGAAGTGGGAGGGAGAGTGACACTGAAGGTGGTGCCATGTTGTCACCATGGTTGGTCCCTTGCAGCTGAGACCCGCGTGTGCGCGAGCACTGACCCGGATTTTCAATCTCTCGGACCAGGATAACAACCAGATCCTTAGTGATGATGAACTCAACTATTTCCAGGTAGGGCTGGCTGTGGAGCTGAAACGCCCACAGCTGTTTGTGGCAGGTGCCTGCCTGTTTGCTGGAAAGCCCCTGCGGTCCCCTTTCCCTGTAACAACAGTCAGAAAGGCAGCCCCTCTCCTGGCACTGCAGACCTCTTTGTATTCAGCACTCTGGGTGTCACACAGGCAAAGCACCACAGGGTGCATCCCCGAGTAAATGGATATCCACAGGTCTCCCAGCATCCACTGAGCTTGGGCCATGTTTGCTCTGCAGTGGGGAAAGTAGGAGACTCTAGAGATGTTGAGAGTCATGCTGTTTTGGGATGCTGAGGAGCAGGGGCTTGGTGTAGGATCTAAGGTGGGTGTCTGAGATGGGTCGATTTTTATCTGCTAGAAAGGTCCTCCCTCTCCTTGTCAGGGGAGAGGAGTGCTGGTGAGAGAGGCCTGTGCTGTCTGTGTGTTTTGCTCACGATGACCTTATTTCTCTTGGGAGGTAGAAGTCCTGCTTTGGAAACCCCCTGGCTCCGCAGGCCCTGGAGGATGTGAAGATGGTTGTGTGGAAGAACACCACGGACGGGGTGCAGGACAACGGCCTGACATTAAACGGTAGTGGCACAAGGGCTCCGTGCCCCTTCCAAGCAAGGAAGAGAGGGACCCATCTCTGTCAGCATGTTATAGGGGGACCCTGTCCTCGGACTCAGTCTCCACACACTTACTCAAAGCCTAACTAGCTCCTCAAAGCAAGCTTGAGTCTACCATGCCTGCTGTCTGTAGGCATGTAGCTGTCTGTCCAAGCATCCTGTTTTCCCCGGGAAATTGTGGTCCTGGGGGTGAATTCCTGAGCTGGAGTGCCTGGCTAGCCCAACTGTTTTCTGAGCTGCCTGATCTCTCCTGCAGGCTTCCTCTTCCTCAACACACTCTTCATCCAGAGGGGCCGGCATGAGACCACCTGGACCATTCTTCGCCGCTTTGGGTACGACGACGAGCTGGAGCTGACGGATGACTATCTCTACCCGCAGTACGTATCCCGCTGTGGAGCGGGGCAGGCATGGTGTGACATCCTCACTCATGATACGCGACTCAGGATCCCCAGCACCTTGCTGGCTCCTTTCTGCCCCCTGGGGTCTGCTGCTTTCCTCAGCTGGGTCTGAAACCTGCCTTGGCGTTCCTACTAAGCGCGTGGTCAGGTTCATGCTCCTCGCCTTCCCCTGCGGGTAGGAGCTGACACGGGATTGGCAATGAGTACAGTGGCCTTGGTGAGCGTTGACTGTGCTGCTGGCTCTGGTGTAGGCAGGCAAGGAGAGGGGAATGAAGACATGTCCCTGACTCCCCCTGACATCAGCAACGGGCTTTTGAAGGCTGTTCTGTCTGTGTCTGAGCTGAGCTGTCGAGAGCAGTCAGCTGTCAGCCTTATCCTCCTAGCTGACTCTGCAGCTGCTGTCTCTTTTCTGCCGCCTGCCACCCCCAGAGGTGGTGATCTGGCAGTAATGAAAGGGTTCAGCTTGTGAGCTGCCTCATCCTCTCCTCACCAGGCAGCAGGCTACCCAGGGAGACAACAGGGCTCATGCTGGTGGAAAGCACCAGGATTAGTGCTGCGCCCTACGGAAGCCTGCCCCAAGTGCAAGGCAGAGTGATGGCTATGCTGTTTCCCTCACCACTCAGGCAGTGTGAATGTACTAAGGAGAGTCTGCTGCATACCGTTGAGGCCTTCTCCTCAAAGTGTGCAGACTGGGTCAGGAAATAGCCAAGGCCTAGAGACAACCACAGGCCTTGAGCGGGGAGAGGGAGCGGGGAGCAGCATGCTCTGGGTGAGATCTGGCAATGCTGAGGACCTGGTCACACATTGCCCTTCATTCAGGGCTTGAAGACAAGAGGTGTTGCCATGCCCCATGCGGCTGTACAGGCAGTCTGCTCACTTCAATCTCTTCTGGCAGGTTCCGCCTGCCCCCCGGCTGCTCCACAGAGCTCAACCACTTGGGCTACCAGTTCCTGCAGCGGCTGTTTGAGAAGCATGACAAGGTGGGCTGCCTGCAGCGTGGTTGTGTGGGGAAGGGATGCCGTCTGCTAGGCTTGCATGTTTGAGTATAGCTGCCCTCCCGTCTGCCCTTATGCTGCCTGACTTGGGGGCAGATGTGGAAGCAGCAAAGGGATTTTCTCTGTCACAGCAAGCACTCCCTTCATGGCCTCTGGCTGAGGCTTTGGGAGGTGTTCACAGCGAGCTGTACGTAGGGACAGTGCAGCAGCTGTGGGTCTGACTGCAGCAGCCTGTCGAGGCCTTGGGGCTATGTTCGCTACCCTTGACCAAAGGGCAGCAAGGAAAATCTGGGCCTTCACAGGCTTTTGAGCAGCTGGGCCTGAATTAACATCAAATTGGCATATGCCCTCTGTAGTGCCTGGTCGCAGCATGCTGAGTAGCAGGGGAGAGCGGGCAGAGCTACTGGCCTGCAGCCATGGAGCAAGTGCAAGCAGCCAAACAACTGACAGCCCTGTGGAGGGAGTGCCAGGCCTGGAGATAGGGAGAGAAAGCAACTGATTTCTGCCATACTCTGGCTCTATGGAGAGCGGGAGAAAGGTGTGTTGGATCTGCACACGGTTGGGGTACCGTCAGCTCCGTGGCCACTGGGAAGTGCAGCAGTGAGTAGACACGCATCCCTGTGTGCTTAGATGCTGGCAGATCCTCTGTTGTGTAGTCGTGTGGCATGCCAGCCTGAGAGCACTGCACTTGCATGCCGTTACCTGGGGGCTGGAGGCACCAGTGGTGTGGCAGGCTCGGCTCCTTCCCCGGCTGCACGCAGCCCTTGAGTTGTCCTGACCAAAGCAGGCTGCCGTGTGGCGGCTGGCCCCAGGGAAGCCAGGAATTGCAGCTCAGGGCTGTGGGCTGAGTGTGAACAGCACTTTCCTGCTAACAGGGCTGGCGCTGGCTACAGCTGCAATCCCAAAGAAGAAAGACCGTGCCGTAGCCTGTCCCGGCACAGTGATGGAGATGTCCCCTGGGGCTCAGGCTCTTACACGCTCAGACAGCCCTGGTCTTCCTTGCAATTGATTTCTGCTGTCCGGAGTGTCCCTGTGCCGTTCCGCAGCAGTAATCAAGGTGGCTCCATTTGTGCTGGGGCTCATCTCTGGACCTTAATGATACTTGGAGTGGCTGTAGCGAGATGCTAGTGTGTGCGCAGGCTTTGTCGTGCCTTGGTTGCTGACTCTGCTTTGTTTTTGCAGGACCAGGATGGAGCCCTCTCGCCCACAGAGCTGCAGAGCTTCTTCAGCGTCTTCCCCTGTGTGCCCTGGGGCCCTGAGCTCTACAACACGGTATGCACCACTGATAAAGGCCTGCTTTCCCTGCATGGATTCCTCTGCCAGTGGACGTAAGCTCAGTCCCTCTCCCCTGCCTTTACTCCATTTCGCTTAGCGCTTGCTGACCTTGTCGGCTTCCGCCTGATTGCCGGTTCTCGCCTTCTCTCCAGGCTCGTAGCCTACCTGGATGTCCGGCACTGCCTGGAATGCCTGGGCTACCTGGGCTACCCCATCCTCTCGGAGCAGGACATGGATTCCTCTGCCAGTGGACGTAAGCTCAGTCCCTCTCCCCTGCCTTTACTCCATTTCGCTTAGCGCTTGCTGACCTTGTCGGCTTCCGCCTGATTGCCGGTTCTCGCCTTCTCTCCAGGCTCGTAGCCTACCTGGATGTCCGGCACTGCCTGGAATGCCTGGGCTACCTGGGCTACCCCATCCTCTCGGAGCAGGACTCCCAGACGCAGGCCCTCACAGGTACCCCCCCCCCGGCCCCGCCCCGGGGCCCCCCCTGCCGCTCCCCGGCCTCTCTCCTGCCAGTGACCCGGGAGAAGAGGATTGACTTGGAGAAGGGTCAGACCCAGCGAAATGTCTTCCTCTGCAAGGTGCTGGGAGCCAAGGGTGCAGGCAAGTCCGCCTTCCTGCAGGCCTTCCTCGGCAGGAGCCTCGCGGTGAGTGGCTGCTCCCCTCTCCTGCTGCGCTGCAGCGGGGGCGCCTCGGACTGGCACCCTCTGCCAGCGGAGCAGGAGGCAGAGCCATGAGGCCATCCAGTGATCTGCCACATTACAGCACTCCCCAGCCCTGGCTAGCTGTTAGGATCCCAGCTTTGCACAGCCCTCCGAGCTGGTGGCACCGACTGGTGTCGCTAATGTGTCCTTAATTTTGTGTAGGGTAACGGGCCCCCTATTTCCCTCCCTCCGTTTGCCCCGAGGATCTGGAGGGGTTGTGCCTTTCCCAGGCAGCAGTGTCTTCCCACTCCAACCAGGTGATGCTGGTTTTCCCTGCTTGTTGCAAATGGCCCTGTGTCTCTTGGCAGAGGCCGGCTGGCTTCCAAGGGTGGTGGGTGTCTCCTTGGGGGCTTGGGGCGGTGTGAAATGCTTTCCCTTCCCCAAGCACCACTCTTTTTCCCTGCTGACTGAGGTAATGTTTTCATTGGTGGCAGGCCCAGAGGGAGAACCGAGGAGAGCCGTCCCTCTATGCGATCAACACTGTGCAGGTCAACAGCCAGGAAAAATACCTCATCGTAAGTCTAGGAGAGGAGGGAATCACTGCTTTCTCTGCTTGCAAGCAGAGGGTCACAGCAGGGTTGGCTCTGTCCCTGCCTGTTCCTGCTAGGCTCCCGGCAACCCTGGGCTGGGCCGGGCTGGGCCTGCGGCTGTGTTCGCACTGGCGCAGTCTGTGTCCTGGTGTGAGAAACAGCCTGATGTCCTTGAGGCGGTGTTTTGTCACATTCCCTTTCCCTTCCCGCTCCAGCTGTATGAGGTCAGTGCCGACACAAAGCTCGTGAAGCCATCAGACACAGCCTGCGATGTTGCCTGTTTGATCTATGACCTGAGCGACCCCAAATCCTTCAGCTATTGTGCCAGTATTTATAAGGTAATCAGCAAGGGGCCCTGTGGGATGTTAGCCTTTGACTAGCAGCCCTACGTCTGCCAGGAGGGTCTCTGGTGCCTTGGGGAAGGTCCTGGCATTGGAGCTGGGCTTCCTCTGCCTTGGTGTTAAGAGTGCGCACCTCTCAGCGGTAGCGTCACGCTGGCAAAGTCATCCTCTCTCGGTGCGTTCCAGCCCTGCCCAGCTGAGATTGCTCGTGGTTCCTCCTCTCCTGGAGCTCAGCAGGGTAGTGGCCGATTGCTTACCCCTCGGTGGGCCTTCTGCCTGTCTCTGCAGCAACACTACATGGACAGCCAGATCCCCTGCGTCTTCGTGGCCTCCAAGACAGACCTGCCAGAAGCCAGTCAGCAGCCTGGGCTCTCCCCCACGGAGTTCTGCTATAAGCACTGCCTCCCGCCACCCTTCCTCTTCTCCTGCCATGGCCAAGGCCCACCTGGCACTGCCATCTACACCAAGCTGGCCACTGCTGCCACCTTCCCGTTAGTATTCTTCCCGTGGTGGGGGCTCTCAGCTGGGAGCAGAGCATGGGGAGGAGGGCTGGGATCTCAACTCTGCCTCCTTTTCGCCCTGCTTTTGTCTTTGTTTCTGTTTAGCTTTCGGTGTCATCTGCTTACAAGAGTAATTGAAACAAAAGAAGGCCAATTCTTCCCCTGCTCTTCTGCCTTGTGTGTCTCTGGCAGATTTATTAGATAGGCTCCTGGGGTAGGATCTTTACTTTTGAAGGCTGAGATTAAAAAAGAAAGCTGAAGGGGAGTAACCAGCCCAGTTTGCTAAGGCCTGCAGAAGGGAGGAGGCAGTTATTTTCTCCTCATAAGTGGATCAGAGTGATGAAGAGGTCAGTGAAGCGGGACCTCTGTTCACATGGCCTTCCTTTTGGGAAGGAACCGCACTTGGGAAGGGTGGAGTAACAAGGATGGTGCGGAAGTGAGGCTGGTCACAGACAGGTGCGGGGAGACCTCCTAAGGAGAACTCTGTGTCAGTGGCAGCACTTTACTTTGGGGAGTGGAGGGGGCTGAAAAGCAGGATCAGAGCAGTGCTGGGACAGAGCGCTCTTGGGGAGACTGGGTGGATGCGTTGGAAGACAGGACAGGATTAGTAACGAGTGGTTTTCCTTTTAGCTTCTTTTCAATAAACAACTTTATTTTTAGAGCCGACACTTTCTTTTTTCCCCTCTGCAGTATTAAAATTTAAATATTCTTAATATATCTTAGGGTGTGTGGTATAAATAAATAACAGCGTAATGGAGGACCAGGGATTGGCTGCTCTCCCCTGATTTAGTAGAGAATGAATAATGGATTCCTCTTTCCTCCTTGGAGAGGAGCACGTTAACGCAGGATAGCACGTGTTTAGGGAGGGAGCGTGTATGCTTAGGGAGGACTGGTCCACTTTGCTTGCTGGCCTTAGGTCGATATCACTGTGGCTGTGCCAGCTTTCCCACCCCTGCGTGCCAGCGTCGCTGCCTGCATCTGCTTCTGAGTCTTTGTACGCTTGGAGATGTAAATGCAGCTTGACCTAGAAAGGAACATATATACCTCCTTGCTTGTACTAATTATTTAGATGTTGGTGTGCTATTTTGAGACCAGGGGAGGATGAAGCCCACATTCGTTCCGCCATCGTTTGGCTTCAAGATGATGCTGGGTGGCGGGTGCCGAGGCTCACAGTGTTCTCTGCTGCACTAGGGCTTTTGGGCTGGGGGCTCTAGGCTGGGCAGCCTAGAGCCGTGCCGTGTTCACCCTCAGTCCCTGCAGCGCCCTCCTGCCCGTCTGGCCTTGGAGCGCTCTGTGGCTGCCAGCGCTCCTTGCCCTAGCTGGGGAGGCCGGCGATCAGGGAGCATGGCGTTAGGACAGCCGTCTCTACACGTCACTTACTGGCTCTTCTCTCTTTCCTTGCAGCCACTTGAATGCTGCGGAGCTGGGAGCCGCATCCTTCTGGCTCCGGGTGGCTCTGGGGGCTGCGGTGACTGCCCTGGTAGGGTTCACGCTGTACCGCGTACTAGCCAAGAACAAATGAGAACTGCTCTCCACCCCGTTCTCCCCGTGCCACCAGCCTCTCCCTCCCAAATGATGCTCCAGTGAGGGGCCCTGCGTCGATCTGCTTTCCGTGGGAAACCCTCCTTCCCCCCAGCCTCGACTGCAGAACCAGCGAAACCAGACCTCTCAGCACCAGCAGGATAGAGCCCAGCAGGCAATTCCATGGTACCAGCCAGCCTAGCCCTGCTGGCCCCTGCAGCCTACTCACCTGCGTGGCTCACGTACCCAGCCGTGGTAGTGGGGCCCTGCCAGCCTCTGCCTTGGGGGTCCAGCCTCCCTGGGAGTCAGAGGATCACCTCTCTTTTATTCTGGTTATTTTTTTAACGCTTGTTTTTATGCTCAGACGTGTTTCAGTATCTGTCAGGCCAGGCACATCTCTTTCCCCAGAGAGCTGTGCTGGGCCCTGCTGGCGCCCTCAATTCTGTGGGAGATGTTATATATATCTTCCCAGAGCCCCCTGGGACTCTGGCAGCCCTGGCATTGAGACCGTGCCAGTTTCCGGGCTGCTGCAGGAGAGCTGCTGAACGGGCTAAGAGTCCTGGTCCCATAGGGCATGTCTCTGTCAGGAGTCCCCATGTCCCTCTGCCAGCATGGCCCATGCTGGGAACGGCAGCTGTGGGAAGTCTGGGGGCTCACCCTGTCCGGGTCCTTGTGTTTTTGGGGTCACTTGGCTGCTGACCCATCCCACTGTCCTGTTGGGCCACTGTAGCAGCAGCCCCCAGCCCTGGGCTGCAAGAGAAACGAGCGATACCAAGACCTGTCGCAGGTCCCTTCTGTTTCTAGCTTGTGTGCAAAATACTTGGAGTCCTGCAGCGTGCCAGGATCTCAGCCCATCTGCCCTTCCTGGCCCAGCTGGCAGCTTGTGCCATCCCCTCCCCACCCTTGCCCTGGCCACCAGTATTAGCGGGGGTGTAGGAACCATGGTAAGCAAGAGAGGGCTGCCATGGGGTAGGGTGGCTGTTGCACTCCTGATGGTTGCCATTCAGTCACTGGTCAAGATGAGCTGTGGCTCTTTCCTGGCAGTGTCACCATTGAGCTGGTGCCACGCGATGCCATGCGTTGGCTTGTGGCCCTCGTCCTGCTGTCCTCCCCATGGGGCTCAGCCCTGGCCTGGCTAGCTTTGCTGCTCTGAGGGCTGTCCCAGCACAGGGTGCTCAAGGTGTCGCATGCCCTGGTAGAACTGGAAGCTGTTTTCCCCCTTGGGTGGCCCTGTCCCCCTGTCTGGCTGCGTGATGGTGTTAGTTGCAGGGCAGCTGACGTGACTTCAGTCCAGCACAAACCCAGGGTCCCAAAGAGCGAGGCCAGCCTTCGCCGGCCCCTCCAGGCTGGCTCCCCGCTCAGCTTCCACCCCGTTGGCTCGTGCCCTGGTTCTCCCTGCCATGCCAGCGTGGGAGCCCAGGTAGGCTACTGATTAAATGAGTGACATTAGTCGTTAGGCTTTCAAGCACGCTCAGGGTAGGCTTATTTACAGTCAGCTTGTGGGGCAGCACCAGGTTAGAACGAACAGCTTTTCTATACGTTTGTCTATTTATACCTTTTTTTGTGGCCTGGAGCCAGTGATGGATTTGAGAAGTCGCTCGGCTGCACCCAGCTACCTCTTGGGGGGCGAGTCCCGGGGTGGTGCCCCTGGCCGGGGCGGTGAGCTGAGCCTGCGGGAAGGCGCTGACGACAGCACTGTCCCCAGCGCCGGCCCGGCGAGTGGCCCTTTCCGGGG